AAGCCAAACCCAAACTCTATGAATGGTCTGATGTATTCTGAAACCCTTTAACTGCTCAAACTGTGAACGCAGAACTGCTCTTGAACCCAGCATCAGATCCAGCCTCTGGCCTCTCTGGACTTTCATTTGCCCCAAGCAGTTTGAAAAACAGAGTGGACTCCATGCTCCCAGCCCGATGGGATCCGCATGGCCATGAGAAGTCTGCCTTCATGTGGCCTTTGTTCCAGGCTTTCCACTATGCACCTTTCCCTCCACTTTCCTCTGCTGAAATCCTTTCTTGCAATGTGATGAGAGGAGGTCTCGGGGAGGTAACTGTATCAAGGGGATGGAGGGAGCCCTCAGCAGTGTGTTTAGTGCCCTTATAGAAGAAGCCCCGAGGGAGATGCCTTGACTTTTCAATTGTGTGTGGACACAGCAAGAGGCCACCACCTATGAACCAGGAAGCATACCTCATCAAATGCTCAGCCTGCTAATGCTTCTAGCCTCTGCGACTCTCTGCTAAGTTTGTCGGTCACCCAAGTTGTAGTACATCACAGCAGTAGCTTATCTGAGCTAAGACAGAGAGAAATCGTCTGTGGCGTTGAGTGAGGTTCTCATCTGTGCAGTGTGAGCCGCCTCTCCCACCACCTTCTTTTGTTGGCCAGGTGGTGACAGGCAAGCTGGGAGGGCTTGCTAACTGACACCCTGATAGAGAAGGTATTCACAAACCACGGAAACTAATGTATACACGTCCATCTTGGCCAAACAGTGAGATTATGGGCGTGATTGACAGGAACATGGGTGGCCCAAAGGCAGCTAGTTCCAACGCCAACAATCCCACCCAGCCTGGGCGATGATGCATCCCTGAGGCTTCCTGCCCCACTTGCAGACAGCTCCTCCAAAGAGTCTTCTCTTCCCCTGGCTACCGCTTCCCTGCTTCTGGGACCTCAGGAGGCCCAGTGAGACCGGTGACTCCCCTGTGTCTTTCCTAAGCCTCCCGCCTCCATCCAGGAGGAAGCGCTTTCATTGGAAGGAAACTTTCTCCATTGTATTAACCAAGTAGCTGGCCTCACTTTTCGCTCACTGGTTTAGAAACACACCCCCAGTGTCTAGTGACCACTATACACGACTTCTCAGAGCCTCATTTATTGGTCTTATTCTAGTGCCTTCCCAGCATGCACAGCTGTCCCTCGTGTTCTCACAGCCTTTGGAAATAATTGTGTTTACCCAGAATGAGGCCAGGGATGCTAATAAAGGCAAACGAGAGGGGGAGGGGCTGGTAAAATGGCTCCGTGGGTAAAGGCGCTTGCTGCTAAAGCCTGTTGGCCTGAGTTCAATCCCAGGGTATCCACATAAATGGCAGGAGAGAAACAAATCCCAAATGTTGTCTGATGGTACATGTGCAGCCAAATTTAAAGCAGACACACACACACACACACACACACACACACACACACACACACACACACACACACACTCAAGGACTAGGATCTGTATAGCCATGCCAGAGGCCACGGCGAGAAGAGATCTCATGTTCATCTCATGATATAATACACTGTGTAGAGTTAGAAGTCCCACAGTCTTCAGAAAAATCCCAACATTTTTAAAAGTTCAGAGTCTCTTAACTGTGGCTTCCTATAAAATTCAAAATAAGTCACACACTTCTTATTTGAAGAGGGAAGAACCAGGGTACAGTTAGACCACAGCAAAACCGAACTCCAACAGTGTAAATAGTTCTGTGTCCGACCACCTGGGTCTCCATCATGAACCAGGCTCCAAAGGGCTTGGACAGTCCCAGCTCTTTGGTTCTGCCATTACAGGACACACTGCCTGTCCGTCATACTCCAGTCAGCTTCACCCCACACCTGCCACCGTCCCTAGTGGTCACTCCATCGTCTGGCATCTCCAATATTCTGGGGTCTTCCTTGAAACTAAGGCTTCACCCTCACTGGTGATGTCTCTCATTGCCAAGCCTCGGCTTCTTTCCGTGAACCCCTCAATCCTGGGGTCACCACCCACAACTGAGGCTGCACCTTTCCCAGCATCTTCTTTCTGGGCTCCCTTTAGGGATCCTGCCTCTGCCCCCCCTCCCCCATGGCATCAAGCCTCAGATTCCCTCCATGACCCCTTCAAGCCTGAAGCCTCCATTACAGCTGACGCTATACCTCCATTAATGGCCTCCTGACCTCTCTGAAAGGACTCCAGCCCTGGCGGCCACAGGTTGCTGTCATGAGTCTCTTATATCCTCAAACCAGGAACATGTGGGGGGATTTCTACATCTAAGTTTGACCGCCAGTTTAAGATGCAGCATTTGCCTTCTGAAACACTGCTTCTGTGCGCCAACTCCAAGGAAACACCTTCTAGAAGATTCCTCCTGAATGGTGCTGGTCTCTTATTAATCATAGCTTACGTTTTCAGTCCCTGCAAACCAGAAACCAGACTTGCAATTTAAAACACCACATGATAGCCACTGAGAGACTCTCAGACTCCCCTCAGAGACCCATAAGCCAGGTCTCTGTCATCTGCGCCGCCCGTGGCATTATCCTCCAATCTCCTACAACCACAGCCCACCAAGCCCTACAGACGCAACAGCACCTTCACCCCAAAGCTCCCAAATCCTTCCATAACCCCCCTTGCCCCCCACCCCCAAACAGCAGTCAGCTCCATCACATCAAGATCCCACTGTCTGATACAGCTTCCCACCTTAGTGTGTTTTTTGTTCCTGTGATAAACACCATAACGAAAATCAGCTTAGACAGGGGGCGGGTTCCTTTGACTTACAGCTCACAGCCCATCGTGAAGGGGAGCCGGAGCCGGAGCTCAAGTGGTACAGGAACCCGAAGGCAGGAACTGAAGTAGAGGAAGCCATGGAGGAAGGCTGCTTACTGGCTTGCTCCTCACGGCTTGCTCAGTTGGCTTTCTTGTATGACCCAGGACCACCTTCCCTGGGTGTGATAACCTCCCACAGTGGGCTGGACCCTGCCTACATCAATCACCAATCAAGAAAATATCCCGCAGACTTGTCCACGGGTCAGTGGCACGCCCTCCCGAAGCCTACATACACAGTTACCTCTCCTGAGATGAGATTCCCCCAGTGCCAGGCCTGGCTCGGGTGGGACCCTTCTCAGATGTTCTTCTCTGACCTCTCTACACAAACTCAGCCTTTACCATTTCAAAAGCTCCACACGTCTGACACGGTCCCTCTCAAGCGCTCAATTTACCATCATCGCTCTGAATTTGGAACAGGAGGAGGAGACTTAAGCCATTGTGTACTTGACGCTGAGTATTTGCTGCGCGGTGTTAGGGGCTCGCATGCCGATGAGGTGGGTGGGTTTGCCGAGTGGCCAAGTATCCGCACGCATTAATATTCTTGTTTCGATGGCTGCAGCATACGTTAAGACTGCCCCTCCCCCTCGCCAAGCCTCCTGAATCTTCCTGTCTGGACACTGAAGCCAGTGCATTTTCCTTTGGTCCGTTTCTGCCTTTGCTCTCTGCAGAATTCCTTGTCTCAATGAGCACTTGTGGTCCCGTCCCATGGCTCTTTGCAACATTGTGTCAACTTGGCTAGATCTTGGCCCATGAAGCAGAGCACGGGTGGTGACTGGGGAGTCCTGCAGAGTTCAGCAGCGGACTACCTCTGCCGACTACCTCTGCTGGTTCGCTCCTTGGAGCCCCGTTCACGTAGAAGATTCTGGTGAAGATGCTGAGTAGGCTCATTCGCGTGCCTCAGCCGGCTGCAAGCACTCCAAAAGGTTCCCGGCCCAAAGCCTGCCAGAGGACATCTTATGAGCTCAGTGGAGAAATCCCTGGAAAGATGAAGTGCCTAGAAATGAGCATAACAGGGCGGCTCATTGTGCCAACTCAAGGCCGAGTGCCTGGGGGAAAAAAGAGCCCCTCCCACCTTGCCTCTTAGACCTGGCTCCTGTTCCAGGCTCAGGGCTCAGGAGGGTGTCAGGCTGTCCTTTCATAGGGACAGGACCATGGGGTGAGGCCACTCACCAGATCCTGTTCAGTACGGGGTGGGTGGGTAGGAGTGAGGATGAGATGGGCGGGGCTGGACAGCAACTGTCACAACACAACAGGATTCAAAACTGTTTATGTACACACGTCTTATTTTCTAGATTTACCTCATTTCCTATGCATATGAGTGCTTGACCTGCATTATGTATGTGCAGCGTATGGGTGTCGGGTGCTTGCCGAGGTCGCACTACTATTATCTGCTGTCTTTGTGTCGTGAGAAAAGCTGGGCCATGTGGCTGTATGGTGACTTTGGGAACAACTACCTGGCTGCTCCTGAGTTAACCACGTGCCTCAGTTTCCCCATCTGCAAAGCAGGGATGACTGAAGACAGTAGTACCTGCCTCCCAGTTTGCTATGGGTGAAAACTCATAAAAAAGCAGTTCCTGTCCTCGGGGTAGTGTCCTGTGGATACACAAGGGACTGTTATAGCCAACATTCTCTTTCTGTTCTGACTGCCAGGATCCTCTGACTGCTGGGATGCTACAGGATGCTCTGAGCTCAGCTTGGGTTTTCGCTAATGCTCCTTTGATCTCTCAGTTCCCACATTTGAGAGGAGCGTGTGTTCTGCTCACAAGGCATCTTGGCTGGTACCTTCCCCGGCTCTTTGATAAGGCGCGCTGGAGGCCGGAACGTTTGCTTTGGGCATGGCGGCTTAATGACTTTGCCCAGTAACTTCTTACAGCAGAGATTATTTCCCCTAAGCCCGAGAGCTGAAACAATATATTTTGTTAGGAAATAAACACCCTCGGAAGGAGGAAATGAGAATTTTTCTCTGCCGCTTTCAATGCATTTTTTTCCCCTTTAAAAATTTCATTAACAACAATCCCCTCTTCCTTTCCTCTTTACCTTGTGTTTTGTTCCACGCGGCTTCACTAAGAGATTTGAAAATGAACGGACGTGGAAAGGAAACCCAGAGAAAGCCAGAGCCAATTGAAGTTTCATCTTACGACGACTCGCTCCTGGCTCCTTAGCTACGCTCTAGCTTTGCATTTCAGCAAATGACTCAGAACACGACTTGTTTCTTTGACAAATTATCTTTCCCTCAAGTAGTCCAGCACGAGAGCCAAAGCATGTTAACAGAGACAAAAAGAAGATGGCCTGGCTGAAGTAACTAACCCCACGTACAAAAGTAACATGAAAATTGACTCGTAGCACGAAAGGCTTTCAGTTTTTACTTATTTTTAGTTGTGTGCGTATGTGTGTTTGTGTGTGTGCATGGCATGGTGCATGTGTCTAGAGGTCAAAGGACAACTTTCCGGGGTGGAGGTGTCCCAGGGATCAAACTTAAGTCATTGTGCTTGGTGGCAAGCACCCTGGCCATTGAGCCATCTGGCCAGTCTAGAAGGAGGCTCTCACTGGAGGGTTGTAATAGGGTCTAGTTGCTTAGGATAATTGGAGGATGAGGGTTCGGGGATGGGAAGTGGAAAGGGAATCCTCATGCACAGGACTATGTTCTAGTCACTGTGTGGGATCCAGGCAAGGAGACAGGTGCAGAGGAAAGAGAGGAAGAGCTCTCCTAGATGGTGACCCTCAGTGGCAGGTAGCCGGATAGCTGGGGAGGAGGTGGTGCGTCGAGCCAGGACAGTCAGGGGGATTAAAAGCATTTCAGAGATATGGCACCAGTTGCATCCTGGAAGATGATTCCTGGAGACTGGGGCACAGGTTGACCAGAGGGGGAACAGTAAGGAAGGTGGGCATGAATTTCAAGAGCCTTTATAGTGTGTGTGTGTGTGTGTGTGTGTGTGTGTGTGTGTGTGTGTGTGTGTGTTTCTTTGTTGTTTTGAGACAGAATCTTTCATTGTTCCAGGGGTTCACAGATCTGGCTAGGCAGACTCTCCGGGAAAGGGTCAGGTATCCTTCACTTCCCGCCCCCAAGCTAGGATTATGAGTATGGACACCCAGCTTTTTTTTTTTTTATGATTTACTTCTTTTTATTTTATATGCATTGGTGTTTTGCCAGACTGCATGTCTGTGGGATCCCCTGGAACTGGAACTACAGACAGGTGTGATCTGCCATGTGGGTGCTGGGAATTGAACCCAGGTCCTCTGGAAGAGCTGCCAGTGCTCTTAACCACTGAGCCCTCTCTCCAGCCCTGACACCTCGCTTTTTAAAATGTGGGTTCTGGGGAACCGAACTGAGGTCCTTATGGTTGCAAGGCAAACACTTATCAACTGAGCCATCTCTCCAGCCTCTGTCCCTCAACCTTTCTGGGAGTCATCTGGTGAAATCAAGCAGAAAGAACCAAGAGAGCTTGGCTTCCGGTCTGCCCAGATGGGAACGCAGACCCAATGGCTTTCCTGCTCTGGCACTCTGGTGAAGTTACAGGACCCCGTCTCAGTCCTCCTGTATGGAAGTGTTCTGTAATAACATTGTTGCTAGAACTTAGTTAATGACTGTAAAAGGCTTAGCACATGTTCTTCTGGCTTAAGTGGCTACAGAGTATTAATTATTAAGAGCTGAAACAGCAGCAATTTGTTGTTCATAACTATGAGCCTCTCTCTACACAGATCTTCCTCTGGAATAATTACAAATTCTTATGCATTCATATTTGATATCACGTAGCCCTTCAGACTCCCAACCCTGTAGTAGCTCCAGAGATGTTAGTAAGCCTACCACCACCAGCCCTTTGGGATCTTGGGCAGGCATCTGAGCAGTGGGAAGGATTCAAGGTGCACCCTCCAGCCCTTACTCTCCCGAGAAAGTGAAACTGAGTTTCTAGAAGATGGCATTCTATCGCCTGCCCTTATAAGTTCGCCGTTCCGGCATCTGCTTTCAGCGAGCCAGCGTGCTGTGCTTGTAATTCATGATGGCTATTGGCAATGTGTAAATGAGAACAGGAGTCTGCTTTCCTCACAGCCCGGCTGGAGCCAGTGGCAGGAGGGGCTGCTGGCACCCGGCATTCGTGAACTTGGTTCACACCCTTGCTGTGTCTTTGAAGCAATGTCTAGGATTTTCAAAAAAAAAAAAAAAAAGTTTAAAAAATGTAATTTTATTTATGTGTTGCATGCAGATGCCATTGAGCCATCTTTTGACCTAAAATAAGTCTCCTCTCTCTCTCTCTCTCTCTCTCTCTCTCTCTCTCTCTTTCTCTCTCTCTCTCGACTGGATCTCATTATGTAGCTCTGGATGACTCACTATGTTAGACCAGGCTTGCCTCTATCTCACAAGAGATCCACCTGCCTTTGCCTCCCCAAGTATTGGAATTAAAGACCAGTGTCACTATTCCTGGCCCCTCATTTTTAAAAATCACATTTATTTACTGATTTGTTTTGGAGGAGGCCCATGTAACCACGGTGCATGAGTGTCCCGGAGGTCCCACTCGGCCAGGCTAGCTGGCCAGCATCTTGACCCACGGAGCCATCTTCAGCTTGCTAACTCGAGAATTTTGTGTTGAAGGAAGCTTTTTCAATTGTTTTTAAAATTGCATGCACTGTTGGTAATCGCAGTCAGGCGGGAGACACGGAGGGACCAGTCTGTCTGATGCAGTTTGTCAGATGTCTTGGTGAGGAGTTTGTGGAGAGTTTAAAGAGGCTTGATGAGTGAGTGACTCTGCAGCTCCGAGGCAGCACACTGACCTTCAACTCCGTCTGTAGCCAAGGATGACCTTGAACTTCTGATCCTCCTGCCTCCGCCCCTGTGGGCTGTATCACAGGTGTGCATCACCACGCCTGCCCTAGCATAGTGTTCTCTGGCTTCATTTATGTTACTACATAATTTAGTCCTTTCTCTTTGTGTCTGAATAATACGCGTGTGGATAAACACAGTTTGTTATTCATCAGCTGAGGGGAGCGTCCTTGATTTTAAAGCTGTATTTCTGAGAGGGCTCCCCATTAAAAGCAAACTTTAATTCCACAAACTACTTTGTCAGAGGCTTACTAAGGCTGCCCACGCATCCTCTTGATTGCTTTTATGACAAATTCCATCTGCATCATTTAAGAAAGCAAGCCTTTCCCCTGCAGGTTTGGACTGGTAAATTGTCCTGTGTGTAGGCATGCTCCATCCAGTGAACTTTGAAGCCCTGAGGCTCTCCTAGAAGGTGGTACACACAGTCCACAAGCTCACTGCTCTTTTCCATCCGTGTCTTCATTGTGTAACTGCTAGACTTGGGCTGTTCCTCTGTCTCCCCCCAACCCCATATTCTTCCTGTCTGAACTACTGGGTGGGCTTTCATCCTGTTACAATTCATGCTCTGGAGACTAAGATTTAGGTCAGGTTCACCCTGGCCCCAGGCACGGTCTTTCAAATATCCCAGTCTGCCCTGGAATCTGCCAATGCAGCAGAAGGTGAACTCCTGATCCTTTTGCCTCCTTCCAAGTGTTGAGATTACAGGCTTTTGTCATCACACTTAGTTACGCAGTGTCGGGGATTGAACCCGGGGCTTTATGCATGCTAGTTAGTTGCTCCACCACCTGCCCCACCTAAAGGGTCAGGATTAAAAAGTTTATTATGTGTGTGTGTGTGTGTGTGTGTGTGTGTGTGTGTGTGTGTGTATACATGTCATGGTGCATGTGTGGAAGGGAGAGGACAACTTTGGGGAGTCTGTTATCTCCTCCAACCATGTGAGTTGCTGGGATCAAATCCAGGTCCTCGGGCTTTTGCAGCAAGGGCCTTGACCTGCTGAGCCATGGGCCAGCCCCCAGGGGCAGAGTTTCTAAGTGTTTCTTGTTCCTCTTTTTTTCCCCCCAGGTAGATCCAGTGTTTACAAGGGAAGTGAAAGACCGGGTAAGGAGGTAAGACTGGCAGACGGGTGGCATCTTGCACGCTAGGAATCCTGAGTGGCAGAGTGGTTCACGCGTCCCACCTTGCCCATCGCAGACTCTGCTCTAAGCAGGTTGCACGTACTGAGCCCTTTAGTGTTGCCTATGATCCCTCAAGGTCATGCCCTGGGCTCCAAGGCACGGGCAAATAAATGGATGCACTCAAAGTGTAAGATGCGGAAAGGCCAGCGCCAACCACTTTGTATGTCTCACTGCATACGTAGCCCTGGCCGGACTGGAATCAGAAGCCTCCTATATGGTGGGATTCTAGGTATGTGCCTCCCTGCTTGGCTTAGTGAAGACCGCTTGCTTGAAGATAATACTTTTTACTGATGACCCCGGCAAATAAATGAAATTATTTAAAATAACAAAGATGTGGGGACTAGAGAGCACTGGCTGCTCTTGTAGAGGACCCAGGTTCAGTTCCCCACACCCACATGGTGGCTCACAATCACCTGTAATTCCAGTTCCAGGGGAATCTGATGCCCTCTTCTGGCCTCTGTGAGCACTGCAGTCACGTGGTGCACATGCATCCATGCAGACAAACACTGATACACATAAAAATAAAAAGATCTGGAAGAACGAATGTGTTCAGCTGACATCAATAGCCTCTTTGGAGATAATTGATCAGTGTATCTGTTTAAATAGCATGTTTTTTTTCTCCTGCCAGGAACAAGGGACCCAACTTCACTGGCTGTACAAGTTGAGTCTCAGTTGTTCACATAAAATTTGATCGGGACTCTGAGAAGGGCTGAAACAGCCATGCCGTCCCTGCTCTGTTCTTTCAGGGCTGCAGGGGTGCGGCTGATCCGAGAGATGTGCCAGGAAGATCTGCACGCAGTGGTGAAGAGCTGCTTCGCGCTGGTCAACAGCTCAGTGTCCGAGGGCATGTCAGCCGCCATCCTGGAGGTAAGTGCCGCGCGAATGTTGATGATGGGGTACTGGCTTGTTCTTCTCTCTCTTCTCTGTTTTTTTTTTTTTTTTTTTAAGATTTATTTAAGGATTTTAAGTTGTGTGTATGCACATGTGTCTGTGTGGGAGTATGTACAAATGAGAGCAGTTGAGGGTGAAGACCAAAAGATACCCTGGAGCTGGAGTGGCAGGAATGTGGGAGCCCATTTTCAGGTTCCTCGTGGCTTTACCCAGCAGGTCCGCATAGAGAGGATGATCAGGACCACGGGCCTGGGTGCAGGGGTCTGAGATGGTCTGCACTTGGCTGTGCTGGGGGAGGAGGTCTTTTGCTCCACCCCTTGGCGTTTCATAAATACCCTAGGGTAGAGGCAGGCAGGGCTTGTTGGAATAGGTTCCAGGCTATCCTGTATTTTCTACCTGTTTATCTCCACATTCTAAATCCTTCTAATATTTCCTGCTGCTCGCACTCAAGAAAACTCTGGGGGAACTGTGGGGTTGGAGGGTAAACGTCCCGCACAGGAGGTTGGAAGCCACCCCAGGTGGGTGTGAATTTGCATCAACTGTTTCGAAAGCACGTGACTCGGCTTTGCGTCAACTCTGTGTTTGGCAAAGCTCCACCTGTGCGCTGTGATAAGTGTCAGCCTTGGTTGCTCACCCAGCCCCAGCCACTGGGGCACTCTGTCCCCTCAGCAACTAACTTTGAAAGCAGCGTAGAGCAGGTGCCCAAAGCTCTTCTGTATGTAAACACACTTTTTTTTTTTTAAAAAAAAATTCCCATTTCTTAAGAAGAGGTCATGAGCCTGGAGTCTGCTGAGTGGTTTTTATAAGCAGCACAGACAGCTTTTTCTGCGGAGGAATTGCTCTCGGCCTTGGCTTGCCTCACGGAAAAGGCAGCTGTTAGCAATCCTGATGCCCTTGAAATGAATGTGGATGTGGCGGTCTTTTGAGACGTCAAAATAACCTTTGGGTGAAGGGCTCTGAATGAAGTTGATTTTAGGGGAGAGGGATGAGCGTGTCTTTCTCGTCAGCATCACTTCAGATGGCCAGGGCAGTTAATCACAGAGCACATGCCCATCATTGGTCAGGGAAGTGACTTTTTGACCTTTCTGAATCTGTTTTCCGGAGCAGGCAAGTACAGATGCCCATTGGCTAAAAACAGCTTCTCACTGAAAACGCCTCAAAAGCAAATCTTCGGCCAGACGCACAGCAACCGGATGATTATCGCTAAAAGCCTGCATTTCCCACTCAAATGTATTGTGGATTTGACCCCTACATAGAATAACCTTAAAGGAAGGGGATGGGGAGATGGTTCAGTCAGTAAAATGTTCTCTCTCTCCCCTTCCTTCCCTCCCTCCTCTCACACACACTCTTGACACCAAAATGGCGTAAGTGTTTTGAAACACTCTTACAGGGTCCTTCAAGGTTCTCCAATCACTGCTCACTAAGGTCAATCCCCAGGACCCGCAGGAAAAGCCAGGCATGGATGCTTCTGAGTGTTATCCCAGGGCTGGCGACAGTGGAGAGGAGAGACAGGCAGATCTCTGGGGCTCGCTGGACAGTCAGCCTAATGGAATGTGAGCCCCAGGCTAGTGAGAGACTCTGTCTTTAAAACACACACACACACACACACACACACACACACACACACACACACACACACACACACACTCACACGGTAGACAGTTGCTGAGGAAGGCTGCTTCAAGTTTCCCTCTGTCTTCCACACATCCCCACGGACCCCTCTAGACACAAAGGATGTAAAGGACTGTCTTCATATCTGTTTTCCTGTTTGGAGCGCGGACATAGGTGCAATCACACACAGATGGACACCGGACCTTCTGGGTCAGGTTTTGACAACCTAGGTGGAAGGAGGGCTATGCCCTAAAGCTACAGGCAAGAAGGAGAATGCTTGACCTGAGGAAATAGCACCGGCTATAGTGATGGGAGACCCTTGAAGGACCCTGTAAGAGCGTTTCAAAACACTTGTACCATTTTAGTGTCAGGGTATGTGAGAGAAGAAGAGGGGGGGAGGGAGAAAATTTTATGTGGGTCCATGGGGCAGGGCCATCACTTATTCTTTTGAAAAGCCAAAGCTATTACAAAATGTCAGACCTAGCCGGGCGGTGGTGGCGCAGGTCTTTAATCCCAGCACTCGGGAGGCAGAGGCAGGCAGATCTCTGTGAGTTCGAGGCCAGCCTGGGCTGCAGAGTGAGTTCCAGGAAAGGCGCAAAGCTTCACAAAGAAACCCTGTCTCGAAAAACTTTAAAAAAAAAGAAAACGTCAGGATGAGAAAGAGCTGCTCAGGGCATTTATTTGGGCCGTGGAAGCTGCAGGAGTGGTGGACTTTTGCAAGGGGCTGTGTAGTCACCGTACCTACCCGCCACTGGCCAGCCTCACCAGAAACCCCATCTGCTCAGTCTGCGCATCTGTATGAGCATCTTCAGATCAAGTCATTTCCCCCCGTACTAGCAGTGATCACTCAGAATGACCACCCATGCCACCCAAATCTAAGCAAAGCAAACCCCTCCTCAAGAACATCTACTTAGGGCCGTGTATAACCTCAGGGGTGTGACCCAAGACTGACTAGCAAGCTTCCCAAGCCACACACGCAGGGGAGCTATGTATCTCCAAAGCCTGGGTGATGTTCTGGGGGTACAGTCCCAGCAGCTGAGTTTCTCCTGACTTCTCAGCCATGAAAAATCAAGACTGTTTCTAGAAACCCCAGACAGCTCTGATAAGGGTATGGGAGGCTGGCTGCAGGGATTTTTAGAGAGCCATACAGGGAGGCATGAGCTGGTCTAGGGAGGCCAGGTGGGCCTGTTTATGGAAGGGAGGCTGGCGTGTCTTGAGTTCTGACATCTCGTGTGTCGATCCTGAGCGCCACGCTCACCCCCTCCCTCCTCTGTCTTTCCCGGCTCCCTGGGCGGATTTGCTCTGAATGCGAGCACGCCTATTTCCAAACACGGTCTATCGCATGGCTCTGCCAGCCGCAGCGCTGCTGGGACCAGCTTCGCAGTGTGCTCATGTTCTTGGAGCTTGTCTAACGCTTAGAATTTGCCTTTTTTTTTTAAAGATGTATTTTTAATTTTAATTATGTATACTCATGTGTGTCTATGTGGGGATAGGTGCACCTGTGTGGGAGTGGCCATGGTGGCCTGAAGAGGGCGTTGGGTCCCCCAGACAGAGCTGGAGTCACAGGTGCTTGGGAGCTGTCCAGCTTGGGTGCTGGGAGCGGAACTAGCAAGCACACTTAAGCTCTGAGCCATCTCTTCAGTCCCATCCACCTTAGGTTTTTTTTTCTTTTTTTTTGAGAGAGAGAGTCTTTCACAACCTGGAGCCTGACAATTAGGCTAGACTGGCTGACCAGTAAGCTCCAGGGATCCCCCTGTCTTTCCCAACCCCATACCCAGTATTGGGATTACAGATCTGCACCGCCATGCCTGGCTTATGTTTTTGGTGTTAACACGAATCTCAGGGGACTGAACTCGGGTCCTTCTGCTCGCAGGGCAAACACTTTGCCACCTTAGCCATCTTCCAGCCCCCCTTGTTTGACCCTTAAATGACACCCCCCCCCCCCATCGTCTCTCCTCTCACCTTCACAGGCCATGGATTTAGAAGTCCCCGTGCTGGCTAGGAACATCCCTGGGAACTCGGCCGTGGTGGAGCACGGAGTCACAGGACTGCTGTTTTCAAATCCTCAGGTAAAGAGAGTCCCTTTCCCGTGTGTGCCTCGTTGGTGTGATTTGCACCTGCCTGTATGAAGGAGGGCTGTAAATGTGGGTTCCTTGTAAACCTCCTGGCTCCAGGTGGAGGTAGAGCTGCCCAGCCAAGCTCTGTGGTTTCTGTTCTCACCCTGGAGGGACATGCAGCTTTTTTAGAAATCCAGGGTTACTTCTGACCTGAGGATTTTAGCTCCGTTGGTTGAGCGGCTCGCTCGGCGTGCATTAACCAGGGATGGTAGTGCACGCCTGTCAAAGTGCATTCAGGAGGTAGAAGCAGGAGCATCAGAAGTTCTAGGTCAACCTCTGCTATGTAGCTAGTTCGAGTCCAGCCTGAGCTACATGACACTTTCTCTAAAAGAACCCAAACAAAACATAACTAACCTCACATAAACAAACAAAAAACAAACAAATGCACAGGTGTTCTCTTAAGTGGCTGTCTGGGGCAGGGTGGAGCAGAAGAACAGGGGCTCCAGCCTCCTGGTAGGTACCTTGTGACATTGTGTGCATTCTGGGGTCTGGAGACACAGCTCCCTGCCTTTCTCACGAGTCCTCTCAGGTCAGCACAAGCCACTAAGAACCACAGACACAGCCTTCCCCCACTCCCCGACACACACACACACACACACACACACACACACACACACACACACACACTCACTACAGAACTTACTTACAGATGTGTTTCAACTCGGCGTCTTCACATTGGCTTTACCAAGGATGTTTAGAACAGCAGGTCTTCCTGGTTCTGTGCGGGGAGAGTTGTGATTCTTCACACTCTGAAATGGTGTGCGAGACACGATGTCGCACATACTTCGTTGTCCTCGTCATCTCCGTCAGACTTTATACCCAGTGCGTGGTGGGTACGTGGCCTGAAAAACAAATGATGCACATTTTAAGGAACTCCAGGCTGGGGTTGTATTCATCTCAACCGCTGTGGAACTCAGATTTAACCACTCACCGGTCGGCTGCAGGGAGGGCAAACGTAGTTTCAAATATGCATTCAAATATGTATGAGAGTCAGCTTTTCATTTATTAAGAAGAACTGTCCTGTCAGACCACCAGCTTTGAGAGTTAAAATATGTATATGAAATGCATAGGACATAAATAATGTGTAAGCACAAATGCTCTCTGAATCCAAGCTAAATATAGTTACTCCTTCTGTATTAGCTGTTATTCCTTCATTGAGAACATAAACATGATCTCCCTATGGAGGGCTGAAGATAAAAGACAGAAGAGTTCAGAGAGATTGGGAAGGTAGGGCCTGTGTAAGGGCTTGTGTATGGCCAGGAAACCTTGGGCAGAGTCTGGGAGCTCAGAGTAGCTCCAATGCACAGGCAGCAGAAGAAAGGGGCCTTGGTGTGTGGAACATAAACACTGAATTTGGCCAGACACCATATAAACTTGAGGGAGGAAGAGGGCATGAGAAACCCATGGACCACACAGCATAGGGTGTGGAGATGTAAGAACCATGGCTGTACTGACCTCTAGAAAGAGGATCATTTTAGATGCTGGGATGTGACTCAGTTGGTAGATTGCCAGCCTAGCATGCATGAAGCTCTGGATTTAGGTGCCAGCATAGTATGAAACTGGACATGGCGTTGTGTGTCTATAAACCCAGCATTTAGGAGGCTCAGAAGTTCATCCTTGGGAGACAGCTACATGTGGAACTGGGTGCTCAGCCACTGGTTTTATTTTTGGCCACCTTTCTCTCTCCAGCCTTCTTCTCTGCCCCCTTTAGAGGGCTCAGCCCTTCAGAGTGATTTCTGCCACTGAGAAATGAAGATTCCCATTCTCAGGATTTGATGCCCAATTTTCAGGATTTGGGTCTCTACATTATGTGGTTCTCTAACCCCTGAGACAGCACCTGCCCCTAAGCCCTTGTTCCTTGATAATGAATGGTTAAAGCCAGACCCTGTACCAGCACTCCCACCCCTACCCCGACCCTGTTACCGCTACTTGCAGGAGCATAGAGAGGAATCTGGAAGGAAAGGACTGTATTTGTTTGTTTTCTATTGCTGTGGTAAACTGCCATGACCAAAAGCAACTTGGGGAGGTAAGGGTTTTATGTGGCTCATACATCCTGGTCACAGTCCACACTGAGGGAATTCAGGGCAGTAACTCAAGCAGGAGTAGAAACAGGAACCATAGAGGAACATTGCTTACTGGCTTGCTCAGTCAGCTTTCTCCTCCTCCTCGTCCTCCTCCTTGTCCTCCTTTTTTTCTGAGATAGGGTTTCTCTGTATAGCCCTGGCTGTCCTAGAACTCACTCTGTAGACCAGGCTGGTCTCGAACTCAGAGAACTCTTAGACATCTCACAGGCCAATCTGATGGAGAGAATTCCTCAATTGAGGTTCCCTCTTCCCAGGTGACTCTAGTTTGGGTCAAGGTGTCAAAAACTAAGTGGCACAGGGCTTTTGCTTAGGGAACTTTATAAGGAGAGCCTATAGGATCATCTATATTTATCTGTCTGTGTCTATGTCTTTATCTATCTATATCTAATATTGCTATCTAGCTATATGTCTATCTAATGTATGTGTTTATTTCTGTATATGTAAATCTATCTATATGTATAACTATATATCTATCTATAGCTATATGTATCTATAACTAATATCTATCTCTATCTCTACCTAATATCTATCTATATCTCTATCTGTATCTATTTTTTTTAACCTAAAAACTTGATGACTAAACGTATTTCATGGTTGTAAGCACAGAATAATCTCTGTTTTTGTATACTTCACCTCTGGAAAATTTCAATTAAGCGAAGGTTTCCAAACCCGCTCAGCATTGATTTCTCATTACCTCAACAATCTGGTTATTTCTCCATTTAAGAAGAAATGAGGCTGGTGACTTTCCTCGGTGTTTTTTATAGCTTAGTTTTATAGCTTCAAAATTAAGATCCATACGACATTTAATAGAAACTGTGAATTCATATGCTGCCAGGGTTGGTCTCTTCAAGGGAAGTTTATGCTTATCCTCTAGAAGGTTTCTATTTGTTCTTTAGACAACTGTAGAGAAATAAATTTTGGAATATTAATGAGGGCAGTGGCTAATGTTTATAAAGGGCATGTTATACGCCAGCTCTTATCCTTAGTGGTTAACATAGCTTGTTTTCTTTTCTTCCCCCAAGACAGAGTTTCTCTGTGTAGCCCTTGGCTGTCCTGGAACTCACTCTGTAGACCAGGTTGGCCTCGAACTTACAGAGATCCACCTGTTTCTGTCTCCCAAGTGCTGGGATTAAAGCCATGCACCACCACTGCCTGACCTGACCAGCTTATGTTTTCATATATATATGAATTTTTCTTTTTGAGGCTATGTCCATGTAGCCCAGGCTGTTCTCAAACTTTATATAGCCATCGTGACTTTGAATGCCTGCTCCTCCTGCCCCCCCCCCCCAATCCCGGTCTCCCCGGTACAGAGACTATAGAAGGTCACCACTACACTGAGTGTAAGCAGTACTGGGGGTCAGATTCAGGGCAAGCAGGCACCTCTATCCACTGAGCTACATCCCCATCTCAAGGCCTGTGTCTTTCATAAGGTCAATGCCTTCCTCTTTAAGCAGGGATTGCTTTGACTGTGTTTGGGGAGAGCAAGGTACTCTGGGAATTTGTCCAGGCTGGGAGGTGGTGGTGCTCAGGGGTCTTGTTCCCATTTGAAGCCCACCGTGGCTTTCTGTTGCATGCTGCTCCTTCATCCAGAAGATGGAGGCAAGACTCTCTGGAAGTAGAAAATGCCATGCCAAGTGCTTCAAAAACTGATACTTTCTAGATTTGATTATTCAAAGATCTTCAAATTTAATTGTAGATCACTTAATGGTAAAACGGCACTTACCACCCATCCTGAAGATTTGAGTGTTATCCCTGGGACCTAAAGGGTAGGAGAAGAGAACCGACCCCCAACTTGTCCTCTGACTTCTACATGCCTTAAACAAACACACACACACACACACACACACACACAAATAATTGGTGTACAAAAATAAGTAGAAGTTAGTTGAATAGCCACTAAGCATCCAGATCCCAGTCCCTGTACATTTGGAGGCTTGGAGGCCCAGCAGGAGTAGGCCAGGGCTCCAGTGTTGGACAGAGGGGCTCTGGGCAGGGAAGAGCCTTGGCGGGGCTTGTCAGAGGGGTTCGGCTCAGCCTCTCTATTTAGTGCACAGGCACCATGCAGGGTTAGCTCTGTGAGTCTTAACAGTCACACCTACCATGAGAGGGTTGGGAGAATGAATCTGTGCCCCAGGGACTGAGGTCCTGCAAAGAACCCAGCCCAGGTGAAAGATGCGGAAATGGACGCACGCACACACGCACGCACACACACTTCGCTCCAAACACTCCACTCCGAACACATGCAGATAGTTGCTTTCACCTCTCTCTATCACTGTGACTCTGTCCTTCATCTCTCCCTTTCGCCATCCCTTCATCCTCTTCTCCCTCTCTCCCTTCCTCCTTCCCTCCTTCCTTCCCTTCCTCCGCTTGTGCTTTCCTTTCGAGAGGAATTCTGGCACTGTCCCACCTAGCAGCCCCCCACAGTGGATTCCCTCTGCCTTTATTTACCCACGTTCATCAGGAGAAGGGACCGTTCCTGTCTGAGGCCCACCCCCACCCTTTTGCTGGAGACAGAGGGCACAGTCTGGCTGAAGGGAAAGCCCCTAGTGACCCATGGAGCCTGGGCTTGATGAGTGCGGCTGGGTAGAAAGAGCCACCAGATGGGGCTCACGCCTCAGGAAAACAGAAGCTGCACCTGGGGTTAGCTCAGGCCCAGACCTCAGCATCACCTGGGCTCAGTGTGGGCCTAGCTGTCAGGAGAGTGGGGGCACCATCAGGAGAACCCTAGTAGTCAAGAAGTCTCCCAAAATATGAGGTCGAGAGGGTGCATGGTTTCTCCAGTGAGCTCCGTGGTGACCCCCCCCCCACTGTCCCAGCTTCTGCACAGTCACCAGCCGACATGCAAAGCTCGCCTCCTTCGTATTCTCG